GCCCTCCACTGATTAAAAAGTCTGGAACAATTACATAAGTTCTTCTTTTGTAACTGCTGATAAGATCGTTACGATTCACTTGGCTGGTTCTGGTGTTGCAGTGCTCTCTTGGGAACAAATGCCTTAACAAAATAGTTCCCCTAGAATTGTTATGCTCAACAAAAATATAAGAATATAAGAAAACAAGACATGTTAAATCAAACACAATAATGACAAAGTGTAATGTCTCATGTGTTGTATTTCATCTGAGCTTATATTTGACCTGATTCAGACTAGATTTTTATTATGATCTATAAAACCTTAGAAATGATAATGGGTGTACTTGTTTTATACTATGGCTGTATGTCCTCCTGCTGGATTGTAAATACATGGCGTTTGTCCAACATTGCAAGCAGAATCAGGTGTATTTGCAACAGGTCCACTGAGACGATCACCAGCTGATGTATGTATCCTGGAATAGTCTCCAACCCCACGTGACCCTGACAAGAAACAAATGACACAGATAAATGAAGTCCATTGAAACAGATTTGTATCTCAAATAATGTTAAACAAGAAGAAGCAGAGTTAAAAATGTACCCCATGCTGACTCTAATTCGTCAGAGTGAAGCATCAGCGGACTAATGACAATGAGATGTGTGATATAGATCACACTAATGGCTTCTCATTCTTTTCTAAAAAGACAAATTATCCACAGCGGACAAAGTCTATTCTCTGGCTTCTACTGTCAGATTTTAAAGCTCCTCTTAAAGTGTCCAGAAATAGTCGAAACTATGAAATGTCCATGTAAGGCTTTTCTGCGGTTCATTGTCTTGTGTTGTGTCACCAGCATCCTGCAGTTAAAGTTTACAATGGCAAGGATATTTATGGTGCTTATGTAAACTTGTTTAAATCACACCATGCCAAGGGATTGTTTATATGTGTTGGTGGCCATTCCATCACATATGTCTCATAGATTTGATTGGTCTATAGCATTCAGTGGTGCAAATCCATGTACCGACAATTCGTCATAACATGGCAGCATATCACTGCAGCTTGAAATTGTTGCGGATGCCTCATTTGCCAGCCTGTTTTACATGTGAGGGGGAGAGCACATTTTCCTGTATGTGTCTGAAATGTTAAATGAATTAAGCTTTTTTAAATTCATGTCACTTTTAAGTGTTCAAGCTGATTATCATATCCTCTGGCCAACAGCTTTTTAGACAATTCCACCATGCTTTCTACAGCTGTACTTGGAAAATATTACAAGACTCCTGCATCTAAACCAGTGTGAGATAACATGCTTTTATGATGCTTAAGACATCCGGTAATAAAAATGTGCTTTCTATGTACATGACATTAATGCATTTAAGGTGTATGTGCCTGTTACTGGTAACTATTAGCCAGTGAGAAACTTCTTTTCTTGCATTTTGGCCAACCTTTGGACAATGTACAGTATGGACACCCCAGGTTATGTTGACTGAATGTTTCAAAGATGATCTTTGGGAAGGATGATAATCTATGCATTGGCACACTGCTGACTGAAGATGATAGACAATAGAGGCACCTTCCCAGTAAAGAAATCCTCAAAATGACTGTCATACACCAGTCAGCCACAAAATTAAAACCATGGATGGGTGAAGTGAGTAAGTTCCTCTTGTTTAAAGGCACCTGTCAAAAGGGTGGGGTATATTAGGTAGGGAGCAAACAGGAAAGATAGCAGTGTAAGGATGTGAGTAACTTTGAAAAGGGCAAACGTGTGACATGATGAATGGCACAGTGTTCCTACAAAAGTGGTTTAAGAAAGGACAGCCAACATAGTAGTAGTACAATCATGGGTGTGCAAGGCACAATGAAACATGGTTTCACTCAAATAGAAGAGTTTTTGTAACACAAATAGATGGAAACCTTACCTTTCAGAGTACCGACATTTGTCAAGTATGAGATATTTGTTGAATGTCTAAGTGCAGAACTCAGAACGAGTCTTTAATGGTGATTGTTTGCTACTCGGGATCAAACAGGGAATGAAACATGGCAATCAAAATACTAGACATTGCCAGAAAATACAGAATCACTGGGAGATACAAGTACACCAAGAAATTTAGTGGTAAGTTATACAGAACTGGGGTGTACACAGTCATGACAGATGAGGGCAACAACGAACAAGGCTATAAGGTAATCGGAGAAATGGATAACATCAGGGAAACTCAGCTGAAACCAGTCATGGAAGATGAGACACAGGAAACAAAACTAAAGACTAACAAAATAAATTCAGAAAGTAACTGAACACGGGTACATCTAACACCAAAACATTGACTTGCTGCGCAGAATACAGGAGGTCAGGAAAATAAACTCAGGGAATCAACTAAAAGGATAACTATAATTGCAAAAGAAAACACAATCTAACTGAGAATGGGGATAACAACATGGAAATAAGGTTAGAATATGAAACTCCAAATGACAGGAACAAGTAAGAAACTAAGCAGATTCCTTGATGGCGGGGGCCTCAAAAAAAGTTTGAGGAACATGATAAGAAGTTCTCATTTGATAAGGCCTCAGTTCCACACATCTGCAGGATGTAAAAACAAGTAATCCATGACAACTTGACCCCACAGTTTCCAGGACTTAAAGGATGTGCTGTTTAAGTGCTGGTGTCTAATACCACAAGAAACTTTCAGAGGTCTTGAGGAATCCATGCCTGAATGGGTCAGGACTATTTTGGCAACTTTGAGGAGGACCAGCACCACATTAAAGTTTGTGGTGGTAATGTTGCGGCTGATCGACTGGTGTGGTTAGACAGCTCTCTCATCTATCAATGCTGTGAGCAAGTGTTTGAACCGTAATGCAATTCTCCACTTTCTTTCATAACCTTTTGGTTCTGTCTCTGGATGTTACCCACTCCAGGGCAAAACTGTTGATGTCTTTGATGCTGTGAATCTGTGATGCATTTCTTCCTCGGCTTTGAAGAATGAAGGCATTTGAAGTGAAGAACTCCTGTGCTGCCTCGTCACGTATCTTTAGATTTGTTTTTTTATTCAGCCAAGCACAGACTAACACAGCAAATGTTTCCCATTTTGCTGTTACAGTTAATCCTGAATTAACTCCTCCTCCCTCTCCTGTGTTTGAAGAGGGAGGGGGAACAGAAATCTTTGAGGATATAAAAGAAGCCATGCATCCACGCCAGGTTTCATGGCTGTGCTCTACAAACAGAGTGTGAGACGGGAAGAATATTATACTGTCTTTCCGCTGATTTCTTTGCAAACATCCCAGGTTGCATCTTTTTTGGCTTCAGATTTATTGGTAATCTCGAGGCATTTGCAGTATTTTAGAGAGAAGGTCAATAATTCATCTACATGCAAGCACCTTGTGACAGTGGGGAGGAAACCCAGTGATGATGGCTCTTTGCTTCAGCAGGTTATGGTAGTGAGGAGTAGAAATGGGTAGAGAGGAGAGCAAAGGGAAAGCTGTGTATTTAAGGTAGCCACACTATTGGATGAGCATCTCTGACAGTGCTGTGTTGCTGTTGTTCAGACATCATAAATGATGTCGTTCTAGAAACAAGGTTATTAGAGTTCACTTAAATTAAATGAAAAACAAATGGAACATTGTTCAAAGCTTCTTCAGACTGACATATACCACCCTGGTCATTCTACCTATAACAAACACATTTTTAGCAAGTAAAAATCAAACGCAATTAAAAAAAGAAGAAAAAGAAGAAGCAAACCCACACTAAATGACACTAAAGTAAAATGAAAACAGCAGTTTTCCAGGAAGAGCACAGCAACTGACCAATCATGTTTTCATGATGTAATCACCTTGAGACTTAGTTTTCCTACATGGCCCTGGAGAAAGATCAGACTGCAGCACACAGTTAATGACTATATTTCCGTCATGGTTGTTATTAACAATATTACATTTTACCACTTCTGTCAGAATATGCTGCTGTTCTTTTAAGCTGAATACAAACGTCTGTGCTTTTGAGCACTATCATCTTCAGTGGGGAGGATGCTTTTCAGTTTGAAAGCGTGCGACCAGCATGGCACTAAAGCTACACTACAATTATCAGGAGACAAGGGAGCAAAAACTAACATAACAAATACAAACCAAAACTTTTTGCTACAAAAATAGTATTTTACGCCTTCCCAACTGATTCAACTAAAGACATTGAAACAAATGGTGTGTTTTTGCAATAGGATGTTAGTAACAAAGTGCCTAAAGATTACATTTAAAATTAGTTCTTTGCTAAGTTGTGTGTTCTGTCAAGAAAACATTGGTTCATCTCTTGATGCTAGAATGAGTCATAGGTCAGTCATAGGTTAAATCAGTGTGTTTTTCTGAAACAACAGAGCATAGTAAAGCATCCCAAAAAATATATGTTGCAAAATGTAATAAATTCCTTCTTCAGAAAGCTAAAGTTATAAATGTAAATGGTATTGTAATAAAAAAAAAAAAACATATTTATATTAAGCAGGGCTGTCAAACTCATTTAAAATTGTGGTTCGGGACCAGCCCACTTTCATCTTAAGTGGACCTGACCAGTGAAACTTCATGACAAATGTGTAAAATTACAAAAAAAAATGTCATAACAGTTCATTATACAGACTGTCCTATAATAAACTTAACGTTTTTGTTTATTTACCATGCACTCACTAGTAATGGAAAAACGGGGGACTTTCCTGTAATTGAATTGTTTGTCTGTTAGTTGCTGTGGCATGAACAGCAGTGGGACAGGCAGTTAAAAATTAAAAATCTATGCACGCCTCCATATTTTTTAAAGCTGTCCATTGGTCCAGATTTGGAGTCTTTGCCTGATCAATCTTGGCCCCCGAGCCTTACATTTGCCCTAAAGCTCAAATGACATATAATGTAATTTAATTTGCCAAATTATGTATTCTTTATGAAAAAATGATACCGCCATTAAAGGATTACACTGCTATTTTAACTGTACTTAAAGACTGCTTTATAGTTTGTTTGTGCTTTTTTAATTCGAGCGTTACATTCACGCTGCGACTTGCGTCAGAAACTACTTCCGGTGTCCACGTAAGGTAGGCATCAGGCGTAAACAGTGTAAGTATCGTGCTATAGTAAGTGTATAGCATCTGGCAGGGCTAGTGTAGCCTCAGAACGGCTCCTACACTAATCTTATGTTTTATCCAGGGCAAAGACGTAGTTGTTTTGTTGCGGTGTGCTCTGTCTTCGCCATGTTTTTTCACGCAGGATGTCTTCGTAGTTTTCTATGGACCGGCTGTCGAAGGTCATTCTCACTTGTTTGACTACAGCAACTAGCTGTCGATCTGAAAAATCACCCCCACACCAAATTTAGAAAGAAATATTCCTCTGCCTGGTAACGTAAGCAAATAATACTACATGGGTGGACAACATTGCCCGCTCCCAGGAGCTCATAATTCTTGTTAATTCACTCCCGCATGCTGCATGCTTTACCGTCTGTCATCATAACATCTCGTGCTTTAACATGAAATTAATTTTAAATGATTTTCTCATTAACAAATACACCTATTCGCGGCCTCTTAATCAAAAGGATCCTTCTGAAAAATTCGGCATACATAATATAAATTAACTTTACATTATTGCTTTAAATATCAGTCTTTATCCCCGGCGTGCCGGCTGTTATCAGCGTTAGCAAACGCTACCTATACAGTCTTAACTCGATTAAGCGGTGGTAGCTAAGCATTAGAAACGATAAAAATGGCACTAAAAGATATGCCGATTATAAAAGAAGGCGGTCACTTTTCATTTAACATACAGAGCCACGTTTTATGGAGCGTTGTTAGTTTGTTATTGCCGTGCCGCCGGCTCAGTGTTGCCAGATCCTGATGGTGTTTGGCGTGTCTTGCCCAGTGCCAATGAGAAGCGAGTGCAGTGCTAATCCTGGATTACCAAGCGCACGAACCTTACTGTAGTTTAAGACCAGCGGCACAAGTGAATATTAAAATTGACCTACAGTAAACATGGTTATAATCAGAGCAGCAGTTATCCTTCAGTTAGATCTTATTTTGATGGCTCTGGCTTCCTTTCACATCTTCAGCTTCTTCTATGGACCTCTGCCTGCTTCTTGTGTGTCAGTTAATTCCACTTGATTCATAAGATCAGCACTGGACCAGTTGCCTCAAACACTGCATTTTATAATCATGTGAGTGTGATTTTTCTTTTCCAGAATGGGAAATTTAACCTCCTCCCATCCAAGGGGTCTGTCCAGCACTGCCTGTTTACAGTACGTTCAGGTAAGACCTGCTACTTACAAGCAGCTTGTTACTTTGCTGGGTATGGTAGCGTGCAGTGGGTCTTTGTGTAACTTGTTTTCAGTTGTGCGGGTCTCACAGGCTTATGTATTTTTTTATGGATACACAACCATGACATATTCTGTCTGTCTGATCCAATACATGTTTTACCTGAAGACTTTTGAATTAAACATATGTCATGCAGCACACCTTGAAGTGACATGTGTGAATACACGTGTTCACAAACAAATACAAATAAATCTGTGACAAGGCCCTGTAATGTTTCAGGGGTATGTCCATCTTCTGTAGACTGCATGAAAATGGGTGTAACGTCTGGGTCTGAAAAGTGAAGCCTTAAATCTGCATTCTTTTTAACTGCCACCAGGGGGCGGTATGCGTGGCTGCAGAAACTGAAGGTATTGCAGAAATTTATGAGGAAAACTGGCTCTAATTTAGTAAATTATGGTCATTCATCTTGTGCGGCTGCATTTTACATACTTGCCTCTAGTATAGGTGTTATATCGGTCCATTACACAGTAGTCAGTCAACAAATCTTTCCATTAAATGACCTGAGTGTGATTACAAAGTGCACAACTGCATGCATCAAGATACCTTGAGTTTTTCTTGTGCACATCAGTTTTACACTTCTCCAGATTAGTTACTCTGTGGTATCAGAGCATGTCATCTTGTCAGTGGCATGTTTAACTTTGAAGGCGGTCTGCTTATGAGTGGAGGTGACATCCTAAAATCCATTAAGACATCACCGACTCATCGATAATTAGAAATGTGTTTTAGCCACATGAAGAATGAGCAATCTTTTAGAAACGTCTTAACCTTAAAACAAAGTCTTGTGCATTCAAATTGACTGCATCCTTAAACTTAAAGGCCTTTGCATTCAGGTGTTCCAAACAGGCAAAAATTCGAATAAAACTGGTGGTTAATCAGAATTCTTTCTACATCTGTTGACTATATTCCAGCTAAAGCTATAGATCTGTGGTTACTGACGTTATCTCCTTTACCAGCTTACCCTAAAGTGAGTAGAGCAGACAACACTCTGGTGATGAATCATCAATCTGCTAGAAAGAATGCAAAGAGGAGGAGCCGTCCTCATGCTGGTGTAGAAATGTGCTTGTTGCCCTCAAAAAGGAAGCCGTGAAACTTCCACCATAATTCTGCAATTGGGTCTCTGCCCAAAGTGGAGATAAGATCCTTCTCGCCCTTCACCAACTTGATTCCTGCTATGCTGAAGCTGTTTCTAGACTCCACACTCATAATTATTATTATTATATTCGTATATATCGTATTCTAATTGTGTCTGCCCTTTCAGGATGTGGTGGCACAGAACTGTGTTGTGATATTTTCCAAGACCACCTGCCCATATTGTAAAATGGCCAAAAACGTCTTCAACGAAATTGGCGCAACCTACAAAGTGATCGAACTGGATGAGCACAATGACGGGCGGAGTCTGCAAGAGGCCCTAGCTCAGATGACCGGTGCCAAGACGGTAAGAAGGACCTCACCTTCGTGTGCTTTTTTTTTTTTTTTTTTAAAGTAGAAGAAGAATCAAAACACACATCTCTGACAGCTTGTTTGTTCTGGCAGCTCTGCCTTCAAGT